CGGGGCTGCGGACCCGGCCCGGGCGCGCCGCGCGCCTTCGCCCGGGAGTGGTGGTTCTGCGCTGCGCTGGTTCTGCAGGACTCTTTGTCTTAAAAGAAACGTCGAACCCAGCTACTACTCTTGCAGTGATGTTTAGGGTGTCTTATTTTGTCCGAGGAATTGACCACAAGGGTTCTTCGTTATGTTTTTACTTTTACGCTTAAGTAAACTTTTTTTTTGTGTTTCGGCAATTTTTTTTTTTTTCCTTAGTGGATCTTGACCTTTTTTACTGAGTGGGAATAAATGTCCCCCGAGTTGAAAACTGTTGGTGCACGGCATTTTTAAGAGAAGCATAAAAAAATAAACGAGCTATGACTCAGAAAATAAACTTGCTGCTGGGTGGGATGGGCTCCTCCGGGCTGCAAGGCGACTGGAAGTGCTGTCACAAGCTGCAAGGGACCGGGGAGGGTTTCTTACCCCAACCTCCAGTTCAGAGATGAGGAAAGTGAGACCCACAGAGGTGGTGATTTTGCTTGTGTAAAATTACATAGTCCACATAGCCAAGAAAAGAACCCAGTTCTCCTCTAATCCTAGTCCAGCGGTTGTGTTATTTTACAGATGCTTTTGCCTAACTGCACGGTAATCACTTAAGATTTTTATTTAAGTTGCTGTCCGCTTTTGAGAACACACTAGTGTGATGAAGGAATAGACGCTGCATCCAGAATTGGGTGGGGAAAAAGTGGTGAGCACTTCTAAGACTTACTTTATTTGAGACAGTCTTGCTGTGTAGTTCAGGGTGGTCTTGAACTCACTATGTAACCCACGCTGGCCTCTGGCGACCCTCCTGCCTCAGCCTCCCAAAGTGCTGGAACTATAGGTGTGTCCCACCATGCCTAGCTTCTAAGATTTTATTGCTTCTTCCTGGGTAGTACTATGTAAGAAATTTTTGAGTGGTGGAGAGAGATTTTTATAGCTTTTTCCCTTTCACAGTGCCACGGTATTTGTAGGGCTGAGTAGCTTTGTTTTGTTAGAATGACCTTTGTTACTGCAGATAGTGCTCTTTAATCTTTATATTATTTGATCTTGGAGTACAGATTTCATTGGGGATCTCCGTTTAAATAGATAACGTGCTTAAGTTATCAGAGTATAAAGGTACATACAAGTTGGGATTAATTTTAGAAGGATTAAGGCAAGATCTTCAGAATCAGTATTATTCCTTTCAACAACAAGTAAATCTGTTTTATTTTTACTAAGGGTAAGCCAGCATAGAGGGGTATAAATAGGTGCAAATTATCTGTACTCCTGTCCCAACACAAACATGTCTCTCTAAGGGTATGTGGGTGAGTGGTGAAAGGAAGCCGAAGTCCGCCATCCCTAGAGCATGGCTGGACTTGCCTGGAGAAGGGACCGAGTGCTAATTCGCACAAAGACGAGATGAGTTTGGAGAGCTGTGTGCCTGTGGGGCTGTCCGCCAGGAGAGGTGCTTTAATTCCCGTAGAGACCCCGCGTGGACCAGCTGCCTGGTTTCATCACTAACCTTCTGCCATATATCTTTCCTGAGATGATGTAACATTAATTTTTTTCAACCAGAAGAACTCATACAGTATACTCTGAGTATACTGTGAATCTTTTCTCATATTAATATAGATCTATATCAGCGGTTTTTTTATCTTTTGAAAGCTGACAGGTATCTCATTCTATTGTTAGATGTGCTGCGATATTTTTTCTTGCATTGTTGTATGTATCGATCCACTTTCTGTTTCCTTCCCCTGGCATGTATATTTTTGCACATTTATTTCCATGGGATATGTTCGTGCTGGTGGAATTTCAAGGATGTTCTTGTTTGTTTGTTTTGTTCTTTTGAGACAGAGCCTTGCTGCCTAGTTCAGGTTAGCCTTGAACTCGCAGCAATCCTCCTGCCTCAGCCTCCTGAGTGATGGAATAGCCATCATGCACCACCATGCCCGGCCTCTTATATACCTTTTGTATTTTGAAATACTTGTCATAGTGCCTTCCAGAAAGTTTCTGTCAAATTACATTCCCACCTGCAAGTATATTCAGTTGTTAGATCCTATACCTTTACCAAACCTGGAGTTACTCCTCTCTCTCTTTTATTTTTATTTTTTTACTGGCCTTGAACTCATGCTGTAACACAGGCTGTCTCCGACCTCCAGGTGATCCTCCTGCCTCAGCCTCCTGAGTGCTGGAATTACAGGCGTGTGCCTCCATGCCCAGCCTTTTCTGGTTTTTTAAGATAAGGTGTCACTATGTAGTTCAGGCTGGTCTTGAACTCACTACATAGACCAGGCTAGCCTCAGATTCAGTGATCCTCCTCCCTCAACCTCCCAAGTGCTAGGATTACAGGCATACACCACTGCACCTGATTTATTTTTACTCGTTTTGATACTTTTAAAAACTTACAATTGGGCCCTTTATCATTTGTGCAGATTTTTTCTAGTTGTCTTTGGCCCTTGAAATCATAAGTTTAACATAGGTTGTAAGAGGAAAAAATTTTTTTTTTTTTTAAGTTTGTAAAGTTGCAGGGCCTGCTGGTATGTAGAGAAAGGCCTTCTGATCCTAGGATTTTATAAAGACGTTCATTCATAATGTTTCCTGGTTTTAGTTTTTACATTGGCATCTATACACTTAAATGTATGTTTGTCCGATTTTGATCTGAGGTGTTTATCTTGAGTGCATTTGATGCATTAAAAAGTGCACATATTTTAAAAAGAGGGTGTATTTTAAGGGGGAATTAATGGCAGTGTGTCTTTTACTGTAATAAATTTATTTAAACAGTAATAAATTTTTAAAATAATTGACTGCAAACACTTTGGATAAAAGTATTGCATGGTCACATCACCTTACTGAAAATGGCTGTGTGAAACTTTTGAGCAGCAGCTCCTTGTATATTTGGCTAATATCTTACACTTGGGTACATTAGTTTCAGAATGGTTGCCCGTGCACGTTACCTCATTTGATTTCCACAAAGCCTCCTAAGGCAAGTGGGTGATCAGAGTACAGTTAGAGCTGGTTCTCAAGCTGAGCAGTGAATACCCATCAGGAGTACATGACATTTATGACATCTCAGGACAGAAAATTAGCAGCTGGTGGCTAATATTACATTAGATGCACTTGGAGTCAAAGTAGTGAAAAAAGATTAGATGATCATTTAGTGTCACTTAGGATAGGTAGTGAGCCTTGTGAACATTTTACACAATGAAATGTAATAATAAAAAAGTTTTCTACCCTTTTTTTTGGAACCGGGATTTGAACTCAGAGCCTTGCGCTTGCCAGGCAGGCACCATGCTGCTGAGCTATCACCCCAGCTCCCTTCCACTGTTTATTCTAAGGAAAAGTGTTGTTTCCTGAAATGTTCGTATATTTTGTATACGCGGGCACCTGGATGTAAGATAAATTGCTTCCCTGACTCACAGAAAGGCTGGAACACCATTAATCTAGCCCAGTGCCCTTGTGAGCCACACCGTAAGACATGCACTTAACATCAGGGTATCTGTATATTCAGCACAGGTAAGAAGATTGAAAGTACAGATCTGATGTGATTTGCCAAATTCACTGATTGAGTTACTGATAGAATCTTTGGGCCTTCAGACTCCAAACTTTCTTTCTTCTTCCTGGAAACAGGGTTTCACTAGGTATTCCAGGCTGGCCTTGAACTCGCTGTGCAGGGTAGGCTGACCAAGAACTTAGCGATCCTCCTGCCTCAGGGTCCCAAGGGCTGGGATCAGAGGCATGTGCCACCATGCCTGTCTTCTTTTTTTGTAGCTGTGTCAGTGTGATATTATTTTAAAGATATCTGCTTGTAGGGTTTTTTAGAGTTCATTAGAGTAAGGTTGTCTGTTGACATTAACTTAAAAACTTGAGTTAGGGATTTCCAAGCATAGTCAGGATTCTGGTACTGGGAATCAAACTCAGGACCTTGTGCTTGCCAGGCAGGTGCTTCAT